TGTTCCCTCGTCAGTAATTATATAAAAATAAAAAGAGTAGGTCTTATCACTTGATGAAGCTCCCAATTACTAGATATACATGTTGAGAAGCATAATAAACAATATTTAGAGCTGTGTATCTGTTAAAATTAAATTAATTGTTATGGCTGAAAGTGCTACAATTGAACGACAGGCAATTGGACGTCATGGAATTATTGGTTCATTGTACGATATTCGAAATGACCGATTGGAAGGAGGAAACTTGTTTAACAAAGAATTACCGTCGTCATTTATTAAAACCATCGATAGTGCCAATGTAAGCTATCGTCTTGACTGTCACCAGTCACAAAAAGAAACACTGAATAATTTGAATATCGAACCCAGTCTAAAATTAAGCTTAATGGGAGGACTGATTAATGTTGACGGATCAGCAAAATATCTGGAACAAACAAAAACAGATAGTAGTACCGTTCGAGTGACATTTATATACATGGTGAAAACAAAACAAGAACATTTACAAATATCTACAACTGGTCTAGATGAATATATTTCATCTGATGCAGTGAAAAATATATATGCAACACATAGAGTTAATCATTAATCACGTCAACAAACGAAACGTATCGCAGTAACTATAGACGAAATAAAATCCACATTATATGAAAATAAAATCATGTCATTATCGGAATTAAGTGGGGCGCTAATGTGGCAGCAACATTTGAAAGAACAGTCGACAATCGTGATGCTGTAGAAAAAATTGAAGGCAGCTTATCGGCCACGTTCAAGAAACCCACGATCAGTATGACAGGACAGGTAACAGTTGATTATGATGCTCAACAAAAAGAGAACCTTCAATCGTTGAAAATAAGTTTTTCTGGTGATGTGATGATCGAGCATTGTCCACAAACAATTGAAGGTGTATTGGAAGCCTACAGAAATGTTCCATCCTTGATAAAACCGTTGAATGATGGAAAAGGAAAACAACTTACATTTATTCTGTATCCTTTACAAAGAATTGCAGAAATGTTTAACTTTGAACTAAAGATGAAACGGTTAGTAAAACATTTTGAAATATACTTATGGGTTAAAGTTTTTTTAATCTTAGAAACATCAAAGAAGTATCAGAACATATTATTGCTCGTATTGAAAACATCTTTGAGCAAATAAACGCTGGAAAACGACAATTCAACGATTTTTTGGATGATATCAAACCATGGGAGCAGTTTATCTCTCGGGATTGGTTATGTTTGATTAAAGAGAAAAAGTTAGAACTTGATGGAGATGCACTGAAAACACAACGTGAAATGTCAAATTTGTTAGTCGAAATTCGCAGTGGTTCAGCCGAAGAATCTAAAATGAAGGAGCTACTCGATAATTTTGATAGTCAAAATCCATGTTCACTAATGTCAATCGAAAGATTTTTGGAAGAAAACGCAAGAGTAAAAACAAAAATTGAGACATTGAAAAAAATCAGTCCAGAAAAAACTGAACTAGTGATAAAAATAAAATCTATTGAAGATTTCCTGCTGAATTTCTATGATAATGATGTGTATTTGTTGCACACATGCGACCAATGGCAAAACAAAAACAAACGAAATTCTTTAAAGCAAGCGAGATTTTTTTCAAACCTTATGGAAACTGAACGGAAAGCAAACAATAACCAAGCAATATTTTGGGTGATCGATCATGATTTGCACTTGGATTTAGACAATAAACCCACAGATTCTGTTATTTATCATGCAACAAAGGGTTCAATCGAATCTTTCGATTTCTGTGGCGATTCATTAAGTAAGTTTCTGATTGATAAAGTACAACTTTTCCCCTTCAAATAACACGACATATTTAAACATGTTTCATCTATTTTGACGGTGGGGGTGTGGGTGGATGCTTGAGAGTTAGGGTGAAGTTATTCCATACAGTTACACCCACACCCTTACCCCATATCCTAGAGAGAGATGCCTTAAGCGTTTACCCTGATCCATGTTATAATAAACCTTATTCAGTAAAGCCATATCATCGTTTGTGTGTTTAGAAAAACTTTCGCGTAAACAAATCATACGGATTTTGAAAGAAAATTCAAGCCTGACAGAGAAACGTCTTGTGGCTTTGCATGCAGAATTTATCAAAGAGCAGTAAGTACACAATACTTCGGAGTTTATAACGTGTATAATTATATTTATTTTTCATTAGTCCGGATGGTGAAGTTTCAAAAGTTGATTTCATCTCTGAAATGGGAAAACTATTTCCGAAGTAAGTTTCCGCAAGGATGTGTATAAATTTTTAGAGAAAAATGTTTGCTCATTTTTTATTCGTTTCGGAGTAGAATAGTTTTACATGAACTTAACCACATGTACATAAGTCATTTCCGATTTTGATAAATGTTTTAGAGTTTGTAGAGCTTTTAATTTTAAGCGTTTCAATTAAAACATTTTTCGAAAAACTTTGGTTTTGACGGAGATAAACCCAAAATAATTCGAGCAGTAAAAACTGAAAAAACGTATTTTTTCAGAGTTTTTCCATCAGTTTTTGGTCCTCTTGTACACCAAAACAAGGTCAAAAATAAAATCTAGTATCATATTCAGATTCCTCATGAAAAGGCGCGTCGAATAATACTAAATTTGTTCGAACTTTTGTAACAAATTGAAGTATATATGCTCATAGACCCTGTAGCAATACCGCGTCATTTTCAGTGCTTCTTTATCCCGAAAGGGCAAATTGCTCGATGTAGTGGTATGGTGTATTCGATAAAGCATCTCTTGCTCTACAATTTGATATACTGATAAAGATTTCAACTTTTAGTTTCAAGTTTCAACAGTAAAAATACAAAAGTGAGAGTGAGTGTAAGTAGAAGATTCTCACACCCTTATATCCACACCCTTTGTTGAACAGAAAGTTCCTTATTTAATAAGAATAGAACGAAGTTGATAGTTTATTTCAATCAGTTAAACCGAGAAAAGAAGCGTTTCATTCTGTATGGATCACTTGTTAATATATACACAATATAACGGTCCGAGTTCTACTTCATTCTTGTTCTTGATTTTTAGAGGAAATCCAGCTAATTACTGCGATTATGCATTTTCAACGATTGATGCTGATAAAAGTGGCACAATTAACTTTTCAGAGTTTATGACTGCTGTGGCTCCTACACAACCAGGCGATATAGAGATGCGTCTTAGTGTGGTCCGAGCTATACTACTTTTTCCTAACAAATCATGACATTCTGTTTGATCTTAGATATTTTTTGTTTGTGATTTCGATCATTCTGGAACAATCAATGCTAGTGAAATCGTCAAGTTTATTGAAGCGATCGAAGAGCTGAGAGGCGGCGACGCAGCGGTAAATACGACGAGAGCAAGATCTATTGCTGCAGAAATTATGAACTCCTCTGGGAAAAGTAAAGATGGAGAGGTGACAAAGGAAGAATTTATAAAATGGTAAAAATCGTAAAAATTTTAAGCTTTGTATAATCAAACAATATTGCTTTTTATTTAGCTCTAAAGACAATACCAAAATATCGGTAGTTCTTTTATCAGACATTACAGGTAAGTTATTACCTTAATATTCTAAAAGTGGTAATTATGCCTTTTATCTGAGCAACTCATATTATAAATACACAATTCTAATAACCACCGGAGAAAGTCTTTTAGAGATATTGATAGAAATACCACGTTACATCAGAATTTTTTTAACAACAATTCACCCCTATTTTTACTGACAATTAATAGTTACTCTTTTGATCCTACGAATAGTTTTCAGCATATGACCAATATGGTTGCTGTACTCTAGGAATGGCACTTTAACGTTACTTTACTCGGTAAGGTTAAGTAATTTTACTTTATTTTTTCAAAGTAATATAAAGTTAAAATACCACCCCTACTGTACGCCGATGCATTGAAGCCGCTTCGGATGGAAAGGGTGAGGGTGAACACGACCGTTTTCTGGTCCACTTGTTATTTTAGATGTTTCCTTTGGAATAGAGTGAGATGTAATTGCTGCTCTTCAGGGTGTGGGTGTTATTTTCTCATCCACACGCATACCCTCGTTGCTTGCCTTTCGAATCAATTGCACTACAGAAAAACGCACATAAACTAGATCATTAGAAATTTATTACGTAGCATCTTGAACGTATCAATGACATGTAATAAAGACTTAAACGTTAGACTTCTGCGTAGTTTCTTTTTCCGCAAGAATATTTTACGCTCAGTTCACGTATGGTGAGCGTGGATGGCAGCTGATATTGAGTTCAAATTCGTCCTGACTCAAACTCTCATGCTACTCACACTCTCATTTTCTATGATATTATCGAGAGGAAAAGAATTTTTTTTTTTTTCTACGTGCCCTTCTACCATTTCATTTCTTCTTACTTTTTTAAATCAGATTCTACTCCATCGACAACGTCTACTACTGTGAATGATGAAAAATCTAATTGGTATCGAATGGATACCTCATTTGGATCGGTATGTATGGATGACGGGTGGGCCAGACCTACTCCAAGTTCGGGACAACCTACTTTATTTCGAGATGTTCTCCATCAGGGTAACACGTACATTGACATTATGACTGGTGACTATAAAGGCTATTACCTCGGCGGACACTCTCAAAAAGGTGTCGGAGCCTGGAGCTGGGGTGGTTGTGATTATATGGAATGGAACAACGACAAGCTTAAATCAAAAAGCGGCGGAACTAAAGGGCATGATATGGCATATGGAGCAAATGACCGCTTTTATTTTAGTGCTGGAAAGCCTGGATATCAAGATGTCTGTGTTACCAAAGTCTATCCTTATAAATCACAATAACCAACAGAGAAAGTTGATGGCGGATCAGAATATTTTCATATAATGCTCGCCTAATGAACTGTCTTTCTAGACTATTGCTCTATCATGTAGAGAATGCAATATGCAGAAGAATGATGTGCTTTTTACACCTCTTGAATAATAAATTACGAAAAAATTAAAAGCACAAAACATTTTTCTTCTCTCTAAAAAAATGATAATACTCAGAGCCTTCTAACAAGCATTGCATCTAAGCTATGAGCAGTTTCTGCAGAAGGTTGCTTAATCAGTCTTACCGATTTGCTGATATTTTCACAGCAGATAAACCTAGTAAAGTTAGGAGGAAATTGAATATTTCAGCCTAGGGCAAACAGCGGACTTCAATATTTTAAAGATTTCAAGAGACTTCACAAGACTTCATGCATGAAGTCTCTGTTGTTTCCCCCTCGATTTCAACTCAAACAAACGAGCTGTTCTAGAAGTATAGGCGATATAAGTATAGACATTCAGCTATATTTTGAGAGTCTAGCAGCTTTGCAGAGCACTACTTTTCAGTGAATATTCACTTTTTACAGAACGATAAGAATTGTAATAGAGATTATTTAGGATGTGTGATGGTGTGAGTCAAGCTGCCGCTATCATGATTTCATCCTTGATAAAGGAACTCATCAGCAGGGGTAAATCGCATGATTAGGAATGCGAGCTATCAGGATCATTGTTGTGTCCATGATATATATTGCTTTGAGGGTGGGGGTGGGTATGTTTCAATAAGAATATATAAAACAACGCGTTTCGATCCATTTCAGAATCCCATCAAGTGGTTTAGAAATCTGCATAAATATTAGAATACTTTTAATTGAAAAGAAATTTCAAAGAATTCCCTACAATGTTAAACTTCCCAGTGTCGAAATACTAGATAATCCAATCATGCACAGGTGTATTATATGAAAGAACTACCACGACTACTGTTTCGGCTTCACGATTTCAGGATGAGGACGTTGGAAACGTTGGGGGAAATTGAAAGTGGAATTGATAGTGTTCTTATTTTAGGATAATCTAAAAGAGATGAAAGCGATTAGGATAGGAAAGAAATGAAATATATCGATCAGATATGGACGAGTCGCGGTGTGAAACCGTTCCGCCTCGCCCCCGATGCTTTGTCAATTGTAGTACCATGTTCTTTAAAAGTCATTTCAAATGAGTCACGTGCTTTCTCGTAGTCGTCTTTCTTCCGATATAATAAACCCATATTATTCAAGATAGGCATTCTAGAAGGCATTGTCTTATCTGCATAGATTGATCGAAAAGAATTGAAACTCGTTTTTGACTTGTTCACAGTTAATATTTTAATTAGATATTTTTGTGCCTCTGTAAATTGATCTTGTTCACCTTTCATTGATGCAAGATGAAAATGTATCAAACTTTGAAATTCTTCCGGTAGTTTCTTTTCTAATAAACGATAATAAAATTCTTCTACTTTAGAATATTTACCAAGTTTACGTAAAACATTAACTACCACAAATAGATGATAATCATTAACTAATTGATTATGATGGAATGGATAATCATTTAATAATTGTATATGAAATTTAGTCAGTCTATCATCAACAGCATTAGATAATGTTATTTCTATTATTCATATAGCATTATCATTCCTTTCCATCTTCACAAGTTTCCAAACAGAACCCATAGAGAAAAGAAATTCCGTTTCAATGGGATAATTGAGCAACGGTAGCATAAAGTATCTTAGCATTTATTTGTCTAGCAATATGTAATTTGAATATAACAGATTCATAGCCGTCCCTTTTATCATTAAGTCCAGCATATATATCTGCTATATTTCTATCTTTTCTAGTTGATAAGAAGTCATTTATATAAGTAAATTTATCGTTCTCATCTTTATAATTACTGTAAAACTACGTGGCAACTTTTTACCCTGTGAGAGTATAATATTTCATGTAATGAAGATATAAATTTCTGCTCATTATTGAATATACTCAGTTGTTTATGTACATCCGATATATAGGAATGAAATTTATAAATACCATCCGTATCTTCACATCGAAGCACTTCATTCATTAACCTAAAAAGGAATGAATTATGAGTATAATGATAAACTACATGTTCTGTACGATAATGCTTCTTGAAACTATCAATCTTTTTCTTTTGACACTCATTGTTATCATATTTCTCTCGACAAAAGCGCCATAAACTATCCAAATCTTTTGATTCGTATTTCATTTGAACGGTAATCATATATAAATAATTGAAATAAAAGAAAAACTGATGACTCTTTCTTTAAGAAATGAAATGTTTTCGGTATTGCAGATAGATTAAGCATATAAGGTAGTAGAGGAAATGTATTATAAGTAATTTTCTTTTTTTTCTCTGAAGCATCTTCATTGATTTTAAAGTCTTTCGAAATAGTTTTAAATAACTCTTTTTAATTATTGAAAGTCAGTCAGCCAGCTATTTGAGTTTTTCATTATAAATTGTTTAAAATTAAAATTCAGCTTATAAACAGTATAATTTCTCGACTGTGTCTTAACTAGCGCACATCGCGCTTTAGCTTGTTCACCGGAAATGATAAATACTAAAGTGTGCAAAATAAATTCTTTACCTAAATAAGTTATAAATTTTTCTTTGTCAGTAAACATGTGAATACATTTAAATATGTCGACTAGTTTGATTTTGATTAAACAGGCTTTCATCATAGAACCAGACGACAATTGAATCATGAGAGAAAGGCTTTTCAAGGTTGATTTTTGTACTGCAAATTAACTCAATGAATACTAAACATGTATTAACCATGCGTGTATCAAACAATCCGGCAGTTCAATGCCAGTAAAACAACTAGGGATCAATCAGTTCACAGTGAAAGAACTAAACTGATTTTTATAATTCAATTTCTGAAACGGAAATGTTCAAACAACTACATTCCCCTAGAGCGAAGGTATTTAAAAGCAGCAACATGTTTTGGACAGCCTAACTCTATAAATTAAACTCATAAAACCAATCTATCCTACAGATTAAAAACTAAAAGTGAGACTATCGACCACTGTTGAGTCCGAAAGTAGGTGATTTATAAATCGATTTATTTATATTGATTTATAAATCATTTATTTTTCAACCGAAAATTTAAAATAGTTATAAACATTTTTGGTATTTATACATTGAGCCTATTTATAAATATGTGAACGATTTATAGACATATACTCGATTTATAAATTTGGCTTATTTATAAACGAATATTGGGTAAATAAATGCGAGTATATTGTATAAGCATCTGACTAGTTCACGATTTTTGACTTGATTGATAAACCAGATTTATATCTAACTCTGGTGTAGATAAAATGATTAAATTATCTTTATCATTTTAAGTGTCAATATGAGTATATAATCTCCTCACACTGGAATATGATTTTATCAAATTTAAAAGTACTATTGTCACGAATTTGTAGTAGACAATTAGGTAACTTTGAATTTCTAGACTTGTCAAATTACCAATTTTGACCTGGTTTATAAATTTTAATCCTATTTATAAATATTTTAAATTTTTACGATTTCTGATAAATTCAAATTTTTGTCAAAATCATTTCGGACTCAATAGTGTTCTATGAAGATTTGTCAAATACTTTCCGGTAATAAGGAGAGATATGTATATATAGTTATTTACGCTGCAATTCTTTATCAGTACTCTTCATCTTGAGGATGGGGTGTGGGTGTGAGCGAAGGTGTCTATAAAACAGAGAA